AAAATAATTACAGCTCTGGGATTGGCTGCTTACTTTCTTTAAGGTCAGCAGGTTATATACATTCCTCTAGTATTAGGCTTGACTGTCCTTAAATGATGAGATGATTATGGTCATTATCCATTTGGAAGACCCATTGTGAAATATTCTTTCCTTGTTATATCATCTGGTTTGTGAAGTCATTGGTCCATCTCACAGCAAAACACACAGCATAATGCCACCTCTCCTGTACGTTGCAGTTGGGATGTTTTTCCCAGGATCCCAAGCTTCTTATTTTTTCCTCCAAATGTACCAATAGACATTGTGGCTAAACACTTCAATTTTACTTTTGCCATACCTCCAGGCATGTCTCTCAAAATTAAGATATTTGTCCCCAAGTGCATTTGAAAAGAAAAATGTACTACAGTAAATCTGTAATAAGCATATTTTATAGCAATAGACATTCTTCTTTGAGACAGTGTAGTTGTCTCCGTCCTAAATGGTGAGATGATTAGACATCTCCAGATGAAAGTGACACCTTCAGGCATGGAGAAATTTTACTTGATGATAAATCTGAAATTTTACATTTCTTTTGATATTTTGCTGATTTCCTTTGGTTTTTCCAAAACATCACACATGGAAGGAAGTGTCTTTGATTTTCCAAATGAAATGTATGGAACAGATTGACTTCACTTTTTCTACTCAAGAACATGCTATATTATATAGTACATGCACTCACTTGAATTAAATTGACCTGCACGGTTCAATATTCACAAACTGCCTATTTTGTCACATAACTCCACATTATTTTCGAAGAATGTATCTATTAGTCGATTAGCTTTGGAAATTGAAATATCAACTTGATAAATTACGGGCTAGTGTTTGCAAAGCATCCAATCCAGGAGCTGCATTCATTTTCTTTGGCCCTATTTGTAGATGTTAGCTCCTGTGGTAATGCTAAGATGCTCATAAGGGCGCGTATTAACGTGTATTTGGTGTTTCAACTATTAAGATGGGGAGGGTCTTATGTTACTTCTCTCCTTACGCAATTCTGCTTAAATCAGATCTGAAATTTGAAAGACTGCACTGTAGTGGTCAGAAATTGTACTCCAGGTACCAGACAACTTGCAACATTAACTGATTTTTCCCGTAATATTGCATGTTCTTTCAAAAACAAGTTGGTTTGCAACACAGCACACAACAATGCAATAAAAAAAATTTATCTTTGTTTTTTTCAGTGTAAACCTTTGCAACCATGTGTTGCAAAGGTTTACACTGAAAAAAACAAAGATAAAAATGCTTATTTGTTGGATCAATTCAAGTGGCACATTAAAGACCTTCATTTTATTTAAAGTAAGCAATTAGACTGTAAGCTACCTCAGAACAATATTGTAATTAGCTATATTACCCACATTGTTTTATACAGAATTTCAGTGCCTTTCAATGCCTTGTCATGGAAGTCGCCAAATATCATTTGATAATTTAAATTGTTGGTTTTGGCCAAGAAGTGTCCTGTTCTTCACCTTGTTTTTAAAACCCATACCCTTTGAGTTTGCACCTGAGGAGCAGCTCTTCAGACAGCTCAGCAATCAGATGAAAGTTAGCCTGACAGGTTCCTGTTTTGAACACCCACTCAGTATTTCTCACCCCTAGCATGGAGGTAATGGCCTAGAAATCAAAGTCCTCATCAAATTCAATGGGTGGGCTCAGGTCACGCTCCTGGTGGGCTTCTTTTGATTCTGAAGCATCGCCTTTTCAAAGCTATTTTCTCGCTAATTTTTAATTTACTTTGAGCCTTCACCTCATTGATGGCGCCCATGAACATCCACCAAGAATCAAGCGTCTGAGTGTTTTCAATAACTGTCAAATAATAATAATGTTTTGTGTGAATGAGTCAAGTATTCTGGCCAGTTTGTGACTCTCACAGCAATTTCATGCCACATTACAAACAACAAGCCCCTTAATTTGGTAATCACGGTCATCCAAGAAAACAATTACAGGGTCATTCAAGTAAGGGGGAAAAAAGAGCTGACAAAAAACACTTACATCATTCCACTTCCCAAAATTTCACCACTAATCCACCCATTTCTGAAGGCTTATTATACTATTTAAGCACTTGTCTGGTTCGACACGTCTACACACAGCAACAGGACTTTTTTTTTCTTCGATTACCTCTTCTTGACCAAGGGAGTTGACATTTATCTGTCAGATGTGGGCCAGAATTTTGGAACACATGAGGTCTTTGGGCTGATTGTTATTCAGTTGTAACACTGTGACACATTTTGGCACCTTCTTTTGTGCTTAGCAACGGCCAGGGATTTTGTCCAAGAATGAATAGTTTTAGTGAGGTCTTCAAAACGCAAGCAGTCACATTAAGTTATTGCACATGTTTGCAACTAGCAACAAGGGAGCCGAAACTTTTGTTTATGTTTTCGGACAACTGTAGACTCCCTGTTGGACCGAGATGGAGCAGATCAGCATTAATGTCAAACAGGCAACTGGAGCTAATGGAAACATTAGTATGCTTGACGTGTACTCTGGTGTTCGGATGATTTGTTGAGGAGCAGGGCTTTAATTTTCATCCTCTGGTCTCCTCCCTTCAAGGCAAACTTAACTGAGCGCTAATGACTCCGTGCAAACAATGTGTGACAGGGGGGACAAATTAAAAACACTTCCTGCTTCTTTCCGCCTCCTCCCTCTTTCTTCAGGTGATCTTTGAAGGGTCCCTGAGGTAGCTCCCTCCCTTCCATCTCTGGCTCCTTTCTCCGTCACCCTCCATAAAGCCGAGGTGTTGCGACCCCATCACGACCTGGATCCATGTTAGCCGTTTGACTTCGGGTAGCTGGCAGAAGGACATGATCAGCGGTGTGAAAAAGGGGTGTCTGAGTGTGTGTTTGAAGCGGCGGGGTGGGGCCGGCCTTCACAAGTGGGGTGAGGCTGATTTTGAGGGAGATGAGAGGAAGAGGATCATTCCATTTAAGTCTCACATGCTTGTCGAGCTGTGACTTCTTGTTAAAAAAGAGAGGCTTCTGGGTGGTGACCCCTCCGCATCAGTCGCTTCACCTTGGGAATTGAATGGGACACACACCGCAGCCACCAAGCCTTCCCTCCCCGACCCTGACACCCCCTCCTCTTCTTTGAGTCAATATGTCCGTGTCAGAGATGAAAGTGCAAAGTGGGAGGGACGCAGAGGGGGTCCTGACACTAATGTAGTACATTGGGCTTCACTTACTGATCTGCCAAGTTCTTTTGTCAAGCCCTAAATGCCTGCTAGGGTCCTTTGAACTGCTGAGCGCTCGCCCGCCCTCAGATGCCTCCTCCTTTAGCTTCAATGAGATATCCCCGGTGACATTCCCACAGTCCCGCCGCTGCAGACAGACACGCATAAGTGCACGGAAGCGGTTCAAATTCAAAGGCTTGAAAGGGCTCTGGGAGTAACATCATTCGCCACGTTGCAGTTCTGGCTCAAATTTGCTTTTTGTAAGAGAAATTAAAAAGAATCATTGAAGGCAAATTGCTTTCAGGTCATTTAAAAGCACTTTCATAGGTTGGGTAGCAAAGTGAGCCAGGTAAACTAAGACTTCTAACTTTCTTGCTAGGTTTTCTCACTCCCTCACTCTTGTTGGCTAATCTGTGTGGGTAACCTTATCCCAATTCTTCTCCACATACCCAACCCCACCCTCCTCCAATCCTCAAGAACTGGACTGAAACAGCTCCTCATTCACAAAGCCCTTTCTTGTTATGCTTCTCCATCCAGGATTTGATTGATTCTCCCTGATTTATCAGGTTTCTTCATCTTTCTCTTTTGCCTCTGCTTCAATTAAATTCGGGAAGCAGCTTTGTTTCCAAACTGGCAGTGTGAAAATAAATATAACCAGGCTTTTTAAATTTAAAGGGTCATTTCTTCCAAATAAGACCAATTTCCTGAGGCCTCAACAAAAGTTGAGTTTTATTCGTACAGGTAAGTTAATTTAAAGTTCTTATCAAAGAAATACAACTTATTGTTTATGTGTGGCAACAAAAATTTCAAAATGACATGACTGATTCTATCAATTTGAATTATGGTTCTGTAAAATAATTCAAAAAGCAAAGTGTAGATTTCATAGATTTATTACACCCAAGGTTAATATTTTTAAAACATCACTTCTGTTAACTTTGATTGTTCTGTAGCCAAAATCTAAAATTCAGTTTCTCATAAAACGTGAAAATGTAGAATGAAAATTAAAAAAAATTCTAACATAGAAATGCTGTTTAAAACCATGTTAGTGATTTGTCCATCAGACAGTTTTTGATAACTTCCATAAGAAACATAAATCAGAAAAGGTCACCATCAAAGAAACAAAAATGTTTTCAAGCATATTAAGGAAAAAAAAATAGAGTGGAGGAAATATAAAATGTTGCATATGTAATGAGAATAATAGCACCTTTGAAAGGATCATGAAGCAAAACCCACTGATACCTGTGGAGCAGATTTATGGACTACAGTCAAAGCATTGAGAGCCATTAAACATAGAAGTGTCCAAAGACCCCTTTCCAAATAGAAGAACATTTTTCATTTCATTCAGAAATCAGTGCCCTCGTGGCTGGAGGACGAATAAAGAGGTGAAGTCCAAGATGCTTGAGGTAGAAAATTGCTGTTGTAACTTTCAGAGAAACTGAATATTGTGTTTCCTTTAGTATCACAATTAACAGAAAACTGAAAAGCTCAGTCTGTATTCAATAAATCTATATCATGTACTTTATTAAATGATTTAATTAAATATACTTCCTGATAATATAATTCATCAAGATACACCTGTGTTTTGAATTTGACCATAACTTCAGTCTCTCTTTGCCTAGTTTGGTTTTTTCAGACAGTCTTACAGGAAAAGACGAAAAACAAGTAAAATTTTGATCAGGAATCCAATGAATCAAATAAGGATCAGCAAGAAGGTCAGAAAAGTATTTACTTTGCTTCTTTTACTCTAAATCTTAGTTCATGTCTTTGGAATAACCCCTAGCTCTGGCTCCTGATTGGTCAGCTGCCAAAGCAACTATTACAGCAGAGGAGTGAATGCCAGAACCATCAGACACTTGGCTTGTATCCAGCAGCTATTCCCCAATCTCTCAAGACTGAGAAAATGATAAAAGCAAGTCTTAAAAAGAATGGAAAAATCATGCTTCTCTTCTCTTCTTTAGCTTCACATTGGCACCACCAGAAAACATATGCAAAATACATGGATCTATTTTGGCAGTAGCATAGTTCTACACTGAAAAAATTAGTTTATGTTTCATCTGAGTATCTGAAAATTTAGCAGTTAAAAAAAGAAAAAATACAAGCAGAGTTATTGTTACCAATAAACAACCGACTATGATAAATGTAACTCAAGCATCTATTTCATGCTTACATTAGGGTTTTTGAAACAATTATTTATTTTTAGGAACTTCTAAATAGTAATTGAGAACTTTCTACAAAATAAGTGCAAGTATGACATGATAAAGAGACATTTTTCTCAGCCACTGGCCAGTAGGCTAAAAAATAAGAGGAGCATCTTAGTGTCATAAATTTTCCGTGACAACTGTAAATCCCAGCTGGTTGTTGGGGAGGGATGCCCAAAAAATCCCTTTAAGTCCTACAATAACAAACATTGCTCAGGTTTTTACCTGAACTGGGTGGTTTGGTCAGATGAAAGTATCTGGAGTATCTGCTACAAAACAACGGGTAAATATATGCAAAAGAACCTGATACCTACTGTCAAGCATTTAAATACAGTGGAGGAGCTGTGATGATGTGGGCTGTTTCTCTTTCAAAACCCACTGAGAACCTTGTTAGACTGCCAGAAAAATGTAAATAGATCACCATTGGACCTTTTAGGAGAGTCTAGCACAGGAGGACAGATTAATATTGACATGATTAAACAGACACAAAAAACAACCTTCTTCCATCCCCATCTGAGTCCACAGAAATCCTGTGGAAAAGCTTCGGGCTGAGCTGCACAGCAGAAAGTATATAAGGACTCTGGACAATCTAAAGATAGCATAAACAAGAATATTTCACCTTTCTCTCTATGTGTTCCAATTATGCAGACTAAAATTAGGAAACTATGCAGTTGTGATACTATTGCTAAATGTCACTAAAGTCTAATGTAATGATCCCAGCCTCTCCCAATACTTCTCTTTCGGCCTCCTTTTTGAGGCCTGTTAAACTAATTATAAATATATAATTAACAAGAAGACCTGACATGCATCCCACTTGATATAGCATCCTACAAAATATTTTAGGATGCCTACACGGCATACATTGGAATTACAAGTCTTAGAATTCTTAGAATTGCAAATTGCTGTTCATTCTCAAAAAGGTCTTTGAACAGATTGAACAGCAGGGGTACCAATACATTTAATTACCATCATTTTAGTGTGAGATTGTGGTAAAAGAAAATCTATTTTTATTTTAGGGCATCTTACACATTTTTACCAGGAGGGAAAACATTTGCCCCGCATCTGGGTCCCTCTTCTCCTTCCTCTGACTCACATGTGAGCAACTCATATACCTTCCGCAGTTCTCTCTAACTCTTCAGTTGTGGTTGGAGAAATTTGTCCCAAACATGCAGTGAAGACATGACTAGTAATTCAGACCCTCTGCTGATTGCTTCTAATCATCCTGTCTGTAAATCACTCTTCAGGTGTATTTTATAAGCAGAGAAATCTTTGTGAGGGGTGAGCAGCAACTAATGTAAGCTGGATTTGATCAAACACTAACAACCTCATATTTGTGCAACCATCATTCAAATAACCTTTTGAATAATTACTATTTACTGCACTTTCTGTGGTTTCCCTCCTAGGGGCAGAGAGACTAAATTAGCTGTGTTCAGTTGTGTTACAAGGATTATTACAGTGCATTGCAGACAGGATCACATTGAGAAAAAAAAATCTCAGATTCATTTTATAATCTCAGCTTGACTTTATCAGTAAGATTCATTAATTTTTTCAAGTTTTTGTGATGTATTTTTTAACGTGTCATGTAAATCAGTAGCTGGGGCTTTTCTCTTAATTTCCCACCAAACCAGCAGAAGAAGACCCTATGAAAACCCCACGCATGGGAAGTATATGTAACCATTTAGAATCATTTTAAATGTCAATGCATAAGGAATCCCGGGGATCCAGTTTTAATGGGACAATAAAACCGAACCACAAAGTTGTTTCTCTCTCTCCCCCCCCCTCTCTCTCTTTTGTTTAAGTTGCAGCCTCACTTCAACGCTGCCAGCTCTGTAGCACTCGTAAACACATTCACACTTCTCTTTTATTTAAATATCGGTTACGTTATGGCACATAATTGAAGAGAGAAAAAAATGCATTTGAATGGTGTCTGGCGGAGCAGGTCCAATCCACAAACCCACACTGATTTAAAAAGCGCACAGAAAGGAGAGAGACAGGACCAGTTTCTGTTCCTGGAAGAGCAAAGGCACCTCAACAATCAAGTTAATTAAAACTACTGCGGGTGTCAGAAAAAAGGGAATTATATTCATAGCCATTAATTATTTAAAAAAGTACACAATTTGCATAATGAAGTAGATTAAGACTCATCTTTAAATTAGATTATCAGTGCTGACTCTGTTAAGGTCTAATTTCTTCTTCTTTTATTAAGTTTGTGAAGAAAAGGAAATCCTACTTAAAAAAAAAAAAAAGTTAAACTATCTCCTTGCGCTTTGCCCACCAGGAGAAAAAAAAATCTCTAAAGCTGATGGTCTCTCTGCGATTACCCTATCAGGTGCAAACCGCTGACATGTTTCCACCCACCAACAACAAAAAAGCCTCTCTGTGCCCAAATCTCCAGCCGCAGTCGCACAAACACCGCTGACAGGCAGGCAGCAGGCAGGCAGCGCTGCGCTATCACCAGCCTCTCCAGGGATCTACGACTTTTACTGTCACTGCGAGATTTTTTGAATTTTAATTTCACCTGGATAAGTTTATCTGCTTGCCTTGTTTTTTGAGGACCGCTTTATTTGATTTTCCCCCCTAACATTCCTACAATGTCAGAATAAAATGTGCCTTGCAAGGTGTAGAAATCCCCCACAGGTACGGACCAAGATGAAGAGCCTGTGATCTCTGGAGGAGCAGAAGCTCAAAGGATATTTTTTTAAGTAAGGGGAATTTTTTGAGACGTCGCAGCTTGGCTCCAGTTTAAGGTGAACTTTTGATACTCTGAGGACCTGATCTGAGAAGTTAATCTTTGGGATAGTTCCCCCAACAAGGAAGCGCCCAATGTTGTACTCCGTGCCTTTCCTGCTGCATATATCCTTACATTGGGATTCAGTCTCCTGCTTACCGCCGGAGTTGTGTGCGTAAAAAGACGCGCAGCGGAGCGAAAGCCAGAGAGAGACAGAGAAGGAGGCGATCCCGCCAACCTTTCCCGGGGCTCTGAGTGCGTGAAGCAGGTGTATTTGAGCCGTCTTTCTGAAAGCCAAGATGTCCGTGCTGCCTTCGAGGTTCCTCTACCTGTAAGCGCTCCACATCTCTCCTTGCTTTTTTATTATTTATTTATTTTTATTTTTTTGCATAAACTCATGCATTCTTACCAATAGAAGTCGCCAAAAACTTCATATTTGTGCATTGCTGTCATCCAGGTAGGCTGCGTTTATTTTCCATGTAATTGCCCGTGTGATTCACTCCCCTTTCTCTCCTCCTAGGTGTTTACACTTTCTGGTTTTCTACTTCCAGCTGCAGGTACGTTTACTCTCCTTTTATATTTTTTTGCATGTTCATGTGCAGCTTTTTTTTATTTGAGTCATGATAGAAGAATGGCCATGTGCTGCTTTCATCCCGTTTACCGTAACATAAAACGCTACAAATTAGAATCAACACAGATGTGGAAAAAAAACTCACATTTTTTTAATTAAGTTAGTATATATCAATAACTTTACTAAATGTAATCTGTTTGCATTAAAAATCGCAAAAGCGAACCGTTTATAATAGGTTTAATTATAAAAGTCGTAAATATTTAACGTTCTTGTTTGCAGTTGGGGATTCAAGTAGCATTTTTCACTAATTCACAGCAACAGCTGGGTTGTAAACATGTAGGTGCCTGGGGTTGAAATTTGCAGTTTGAACAGATGACTCGTTTGGCGTTTGTTGCCTTGTTTTTACTAGTTTCGTCTTACTTTGAACCATAACGATTTGCAGACATCCACTCAGCTAATTGACTGCGTTGGCTTTGATTCAGCCGCAGCCCTTTTACCCCCCACCTCCACCTTTCCCGTATGAAACTATTTATCAGTTCATTGTGTGTCGTTTTTGATTGTTTTAAATAAAAATCCATGTTTTTCTCGTTTTAAAGATACCAAATTTATTAAATAAAACAAATAGCGTGGAACTCATAAAAACAGACATTTAACAACGTTTCAAATAAAAAACGCAGCAAATACTTGATGAATAACATTCTTGTCTGTTTGTTTCCTCTAAATTGTTTTATTGCATGTTCAAGTTTGGTTATTCTCTTAAAGAAAGAAAGAAGCACAAGAACTTATGCACAATTTGAGTCATTTTCAGGTTCTAACAGGACATCAGCATGCAATGTTATTGCTTCAACATATTGAATCATGGATAAAATAATAAGCAGTCTAGTTATTTTTTGGTATAGGAAAAAGGCAGAAGATTATTCTCATTGTTGAGCTCTCAGTAACATTCTGTAGGAAAACATAGGAGATGAACCACGGTTGGAAGTGAGGGCATCACCAGCATGAGTGTGTGCTTCAGTACCTGCCTGCATGCGTGTGTATGTGTGTGTGTGTTCTGTAGATAGCATGGCATATCTTAGATGGATGCAACAACTGAGCTTCCTCCGTGAAGGCGACGGCCAGACTTTTTGATGTGGAGACAATATCCGTTTTCATGCTGCATCTTTGCAGGAAGGAGACGGAGTGATAAAAACTATTGTCGCGAGCATTCACCTCAGCCATGTGCTTAGGCTTGCCTCTCCATTGAGATGAAATCCAACTGTCTACCGAGCACACCTTTGTATTTGTTTAGAGAGGGGAAGATTTGGGATAAATCCCTCAGCAGCTCAGCGAAGCTATGTTTTGTTGTGTGGTAGCTCTTTTTTCACTCCTCAGCTTTGAGGTTCATGTTTGACAACAGATCACGCTGATGAACAGCTTTGATTTGTGGAGACTTTGGCATGAAGTGCTTGCAGTTGGAAACATGTCTCAGTCGAAATTGGAATGCAACATCTTTGGCTGTTGCAGTAGTGACACCTTCTCCCCTCATTTGTCTAGCCGTTGTGGCTGTTAGCTTCACCAACATGCTGAGAGAAAGCAGCAAAGCAGGACTTTCTGTTTGGAAGCATATATATATATATTTATATCAAGATTTATTGTTTCGGTCCAAGTCCAAACATGTGCTTTACTCTGCAAAATGTGAATCTTTATGGCAAAGTTTGGGATTTTCTTGTGGAGGCTGTTGTTGTCACATTCTGTCCAATTGTTGTTTGTATCGAAGTGATTTCAAAGAATCTAAAATACAGAAGACAATGGTCGCTGTAAGAAGCAATTTTTATAATTGTCAAAATCAATATTATACTCTCAACTATGTTGTTTTTAAGTTTTAAGAATGGTTGTTCTTGAGGCTTTATTTGTGGTAGTTTGTGTATATCAAAGCTTAAACAAGGCATTTTAGAGATAAGAAAACATCTGAATGAGGATGAAGGACACCAGGAGCCTAAATCAGTTTGCATTTGGATTTGAAGAAGTTGTTTATGTTTCCTGTCTGATGTAAAGGATTTGTTCTCCGGAGGTTAATGTTTCACCTTGTGTTTTTGCTAAATGTCATCAATTCACTGAAGTTAAATCAACAGGCACTCTGAGTATGTAATCTGTATATAATTACCCACCTGAGATCCGCCACATAAAAAGCCATTACTGTGCAATTACCACACCATATACAGCTGGGGAGATGGGATCACGGCGTGATCCGAGATTCCAAGGCTTCTGAAAGTATACGTTTCCTCTCTCTCTTCCACATGTTGGGTCACAGTTGCTTTTCTGTCATGCTGCCAAATATTTTCCCACATCTTTATGTCAGGTCTTAGGTAACTCAGAAACATCAAGATGGTGAGAGGCAGAAGGGAGATTTTTGCAATTTGATTAAAACATCTCCAACAAGAGAGTCTTTGTGGTTTAAGGTACTTCTTTCTTCCTCGCTCATGTCCCCCGCCTGCTGCATTTTCTAATTTATGGACCCTATTTGGCCTCCAGGCAGATATTTGTTTGATGATAGTGCAACAGGTCTGGATGCTTCAGGTGTATAATTGCTAGTGGCTTGGTTGCTTGTGGAAATGAAGTACAGGTTTCTCAATACTGCCTGAGGCACACTATATACTGTGCCCCAGTGCTCACAAACAAGGCCTCTCTGCAGGCTTTGCACTTGTTCTGTTGGAGTTTCACTCAAATACACTCTCCACTTGAGTGTGTGCTAATGTGGTTAGCTTCTTGTAAATGCATTGCAAATAAAATGTGCCACCTTAAAGAGGAGAAACAATAAATCTCTGCAGCTACAAATTTCTATGTTGTTATCTTGGTTTTTACACCCTAAAGCACTTTTCTTTTGACATAGAGGCCATAAAACCAACAGCACATATTACTGTCAACATCTGTGTTTTGACAGTCTCGTTGTACATTTCCTCTTGTGCAGGAATCGCAGCAGAGCACTGCCGATTTCAGGTTTTACATTGAAAACCACACGAGGAACCCAGATGACCTGAGCCGAAAGCAGGTCCGGATCTACCAGCTCTACAGCAGGACCACAGGCAAACACGTCCAGATCCTGGGGAAGAAAATCAATGCCAACGGAGATGATGGGGGCAAGTATGGTATGGGAGAATTTCTGTGCATCTCACTTGACACTTTAGCTAGTCTGAGATCGCAAATCCAGCCAGAATAAAAGTTTTGGTGCTTCTAGAAACTCCTTGACTCTGACCCTTTAGGCTATTTGCTCTTCATTGTTCTGAGGTTGTTTTCTGTTTGCCTAGTGCAGGAGGAGTTGGTTTTGGAAGACAGTCAATAGTGAATGAGGATGGATGAAAACCTGCTGAAATTACCAGCCTTGCTGAGGATCTCTATGATGACAAATATCAAAGACACACCAAATCAATCAGACAGATATTGGCTCTGATCAGTGACTGGCAGATCTATGCTGAAAAAATCTTGATTTCTCTTAATGTTTATCAAATTAATCTAAACTAATATTCATAACTTTCAGTCCATATGTTCATCAAAAAACAGCCTGTACTTGATTCACCTCCTGGAGTTTCACAGAAAGAATCAGATAACGGATAAAGAAATTTGCTTTAATGCATAGATGTTAATGATCTTATGAAGCCATCATGCTATGTTGGATTCAAAAGCACTGAGTCTGTAAAGGAACATGTAGCATACATTTTGTCTTTTATCTGTTACTGACCTTGAAAAAATGGCTGATTGGACTTCCAATAAAACCAAGAAAAGTTGGTCAGTCGCATCTCTGGAAAATATCTGTTGTTTTTTTTCTTGATATCTCACCCAGAAGGTATTGATCTTTGTTCATTTTTTTTCCATCAACGTTTTGATGAATGTGATATTTCTTTCATGAGGAAAAGTTGCTCTTTGCCTCTTTCAGGTGAAGGTTCAGTATTGGTTATTTAAGCAGTAGAGATGATAGATCTTTTATACTTGAAACTGTTAAGCATTTAAACATAACAACCACAAAAAATGCTGCTGGAGGATTTTGGTCTGAAATGAATTATCCACCTTAAATCTCACCACTTAGCTCTGCACATGCTTTTTCATTACTGCAGATCAAATATGGCGGATGGCTAAATTGATGGTCAGTAAAGCACTCTTTGATGTAGCCTGTGCCGCGCTTCCCTGCAGATATTTTTTTCTCATAACAGCTGACTCACAGCTCCAAAATTGCCGGTCTTGAATGCCTCTGAGTCAGTGTGTTCAGTTGCAGATGCGCGCAGGCGAAGTTTCCTCACTGCTTGTTAGAGCTTGAGTGGAAGCAGATCCAATGTTTCCCATGAGCCTTTGCCAATTCTCTCCCCCTCTTCCCCGTCCCTCACCACCTCCTCCCCATCCAGCTGCAGTACCTGGCACCTGTGAACTCCTTTGCACTCACTAGTAATGTTCACTTTGAAAGATTGTAGTCTGGTGGCAAAAGGCCCAAAAAAAAGAAAAAAAAAACAGACATACCAAACTTGGTTGCAGACCTTTGACTTCAGATCTCATATTTGTACATCTGAAGTACAAGAATTATAATCCATCACAGGTACTAGTATATCATATGTATTACTTTTAAAAAACCAAAACACACCTCTTCCACATCTGTCCATCGTAACTGATATCGGTTGTCCTCTAAAAGTGGGCAGTGTAATATAAAAACATAAGTCTAATTGATAAATGTTGCAACGTGGAAGAAAAACACAATTTCTGTTTAACTTTTTAGACAGACATCTATCTATTGAAGTCAACATAGGGCTGTAACTATCATTTTTCATATTGTCGCAATGCACCAAAAGCATAAAAAATAGTCCGAAAAGAGATTAATATTTTCTTTCACTCACTGGCATCCAGTCTGCTCAGCATTTGTCTCTCATGTTTTGATCACACCTCACTCAAATTTGTCTAATTTTAGCTTGACATCCTTAGGAAAATGGAACAAAACTCCCACTCAAACTGCAATTCAAAAATAAAAATAAAAGCAGATTCTTATGTTTTGCAATCTCTTAAATGGAGGATTTTAAGGGCAGTAGTACTTCACTGTTAAGTTGTGCAAATTTTAATTTTGTTTAGCCAAATAATTGATGTGCTCCTCTCATTTTATAAACATGTTTGGATTAAGATTGTGATTATGTAACACTTAGTTAGTGGTACTGATAACAATAAAGTTTATAAAAGGGGAAATGGCGATTGTAATAGGAGTTTGCCCCGCAATTGGGGGGGTTGATGGTTTGATCCCTACTTCACCCGCCTCATTCATTGTGTCCTTAGGCAAGACACTTACCCAGCTTGCCTGCTGGTGGGGGACAGACAGTCTAGTGGCACTGGTGCATGGCAGCCTCACTTCTGTTAGATCTGCCCCAGAGCAGCTGGGGCTACTATTCAGTAACTTGGAATGGGTGAATGATTGTTGTGTTAAGCCCTTTGGGGTCCTTTGGACTTGATAAGATGCTATACAAGTACAAAGCCAAAATATTTCAATTTTATTATGATGACACTGTCACTGATATGCTTAGAATCCAATCCAATACAAACTTGGATGGGTTACAGACATTGAATTTGCAAAATTCAATGTCTCAAGAGAGGAAAGAAAAAGTTGAAAACAGATTGGATTTAGCTTTTTTTAAGTGCAGCTCAAGAGGTCCAAACTAATCTATCTAATTATAAAACCAAGGTGGTACCACAGGAGAGGGAATTGCTATCCCCTCCCAAACTTTTCAGAGGTCACCTACTTCCCACCTTTTCTCTCAAGGTTTGATTTTAGGGTGGGAGTTACTTCTGCCCATCCCATTCCCTTCCACTATTCTTCCCCTGCTCCCTTGAGCGCTACTGAATGGCCCTGTGTGTTAAACAAATGGATCATCTTAACTTTTTGATTGAGTGAGCACAAACTAAAGGGAACTTGAAACCTAATCCTGAGGGGCACATGACTGTTCCACAAACGTTTGGCAGATTTCTTTGCTGGTCTGAGGGCGAGTGCAGACAAAGGTGACCTTGCAGGGGTGAGCATGTTGGATGGGAGCAGGAGCAGGGTGTCGGGGGCTTGGAAGAATAAAGGAGCCGTCAGGATACATCTTTAGAGCGCATTATTGCCATGTCAAGTCATGACAGAGACCTGTTGGTGGGACTGGTCATTATTTTTGCCAAAGCTTCTCAGTTCAAATAGCTTTGGTATTTTTTACCAAGAGTAGATTCCTACTAATGCCTGGAATCTTAGTGACTTTTTAATAATGAATGAAGAATTACCCGTTGTGCATTTTTAACTGAATCACTCAATATTTGGAAGTTACATTTAAGAAAAACCTACAATGCATGTAAAGTTGTTTTTTTGTCTTGCGAGAACAAATGTACAGGAAGAAAGTTTGTACTAGAAGATATTCAGTGACTCTTACTAAGTCTATTGTGTCTTTTCTTTTCCAGCCCTTCTTGTTGTGGAGACAGAAACATTCGGAAGTCACGTTCGAATAAAAGGAAAAGAAAGTGAACATTATATTTGCATGAACGACAAGGGCAAAATTGTCGGAAGGGTGAGTATGAGTGAGTTTAGTTATTTTGGAATATTTTCTAAAGATTAATTTGGCAACACCTTAATATTAGAACCTGTATTTTAGACCTAGCCTTTAACCCTATTTGAATTTAGTAGGAGCTCATATCGTTTTTCTCCTTGTGTTTTTGGACAACCGAACAAAACCCCTTTGATAGCTCAAAGCCATTCTTCCATTGCGTAATCGGCCAACTCCTTTGACACTCGATCAGTCAATTACTGACTGCAATCACCACAATGCATCCAGAGACTAATGGTCACTTAAGAGGAATTTTGTTGCAATTCTATCACTTAGTCACACCAGGTGGCCATTAGAACAAGATGACTGCATGTGACCACAGAGAACCATTTAGATTTGTAAAAATAGTTCAAAAAGTTTATCCTCAGAGACACATAGTTTGGTTCCTTTAATAACTCAGACTGCTTGTATATTTAGCTCATTTTTTCTATACATGTAAACGGGATGAGTTTTAGAAAATGTAAGTCAAATGAATTGCTTTTTCATAGTAATGAGGAGAGTGTCCACAGTTATATTTATTTACACATTTACTGCAGGATCTGCTGGAATGCAAACAATTATCCAGCATATCCTGCAGTAAATGTCATTTTCTGCCTATGTAAATATGTAACAACTTTTCTTAATTTTTATTATTCCATTAAACTAATATTTGATTTCATGACACATTTATAACTCACTATAAAACCTTTTCAGTACAAATAAGCATGAAGTGGATCTATCATTTTATGATGTAAAGCACTTTGAATGGCCTTGTTGCTGAAATGTGCTCTACAAATAAACTTGATTGATTCAAGTTTATTTGATTGATTGTCAATCAGTCAAATAAACTTGCATACAATAGGATTGCCCATAGAAATCTATTGGATTTACCAGTATTCAATTCAATTTCTGATTCTGAGTTTTTACACATCTTTTCAAATTATTAATATAAGAAGATGAAGAACCCTGCCATGAGCCGTTATTTATCATTTATATTGGGACGAGAAGGGAAGTCACTTCCCCTTCTCGACAGGAGAGCCAATGTGAAGCAGAGTTTTACTGTTAATCTCAAAAATAAAAATAGAGTGAATATGAAGTGGTTGGCATAGTTAGCATTACAAAAATAACATTCTCTCTGTGTATTTTCTGTAGAAAGAAGCAGAAACTTTCTTTAACTCTGAAACATATTGACTTGCAGACTGTTTTGTAACAGAACTTGAAAAACCCAAAAGGATAAAAAGAAACATCTTGTACTCCCTCCATCCTTCCTATTGTCTTCTTAAAGTTTTGCTCTCTCTCACTCTCTTGCAGGAAGAGAATAAATCACAATATGTTCCTGTATATTGTAGCAAATATGTTTTTATTTTAAATAGGTTTTCACAGATTATTTGGCTTTCTATTACCTATTACTAAAAATCTTTACTGATTTTGAAAATATTTATCTCTCTTGGAAACAATGTCCTGATATAAAAAAGTCATTAATAACAGATTGCTGACTGTTAGCATGTCACAGCTAATGTGCTTAAAGTGAATTTTAGATTGTTCTGATTATGAGATGATCTGCTTTAACAGTTGAAATACAAATTAAATATAATTTAGCATTTTTCTGTCAAGTCTCAATATCAGAATAACTTACCTGAGACATTTAAAATGATAATAATAGCCTTATAATGCTATACTGACTCTGGCCTCAGTGCATAATTACCTATTTTCTAGAGCAGCATCTCATGAAGAAAATACTACAGTTGAAATTCTGCGCAGTGTCACAAAACAGTGTTTTTTATATTACACTATGTAGCACAGCTTGTCCAGAGTTTAAACCTGAATTAATTCATGCTCATAATCCGCCACCCAGATATTCTAAGTTAAATTCTTCCTCCCAACATAAACTTTTAAACTGTCATTAATAGATTCCTAACAACATTAACAAAAAAACAAATTGTCAAATGCAGTGATTCTTATATAATATTGCAATCTGCTGTCTGCCAGGTAATCTTTGTATCTGTAATCTTCTTGTGTTTGCATTTCTGTACTTTTTAAAATGACCTGATAGTTTCATCAATAACGGTCTTCCACAAAAGCATATGTGTCTGTGTAACAATGTGACCTTGAGCAAGCTTTTGCACTCTCAAGGAAATTTTGATTTTTAATTTTTTTTTTTACATAAAGTTTGCCCAAATGTTTATTAGTATCTGTGTTTATTGTCAAAACTAATTTAAATGTATTTTAATTAAGGTTCAATAAAGGTTTTGTTGGTGCCATCTGGCTGATTTCTATTCGATGACATTACGTCCAATAAAACCTCAGAAAACTTTTTGTAGGTCCAACAAATGGCAAACAAATAAGGTCACAGATCCAAACATGGTTGTTGACATTTAAACTAAACTGTTAGTTATTTTCAGCTGCTATCTTGGGGAAACAGAAATTTTGTTTTTTATACTGTAAATGTGGTTAAAAGAAAAAAAACTATGACAAAAGCACAAAATGATTCCATTTTAGCTCAAACTTACGCATATATAGAGTAAGATTCTTGTCATCAGTGGTCCTAATCAATTGTCACAGTAATATTTAGAGATGAACCAATCGAGAAAGGCAAGAAGTTAGCAATTTAAGCCAATTGCAGTTCTCTTTAAAAAGTTATTTCTTTTACTTTATGCCATTTAAAGAATTAAATGTAAGAAACCTTTTAGATGAAACCAAACTGAGAGTTTTCTCATAGATGTATTTCAGAGCCTGACAGAAAACAACAGATAGATTTCATCAAAGCATTTCCTCTAATTTTTATCTAAGTGTATTCCTGTTTTCCAGAAATCTTTAGTTGTGGAAAAAGAGTTTTTAGTTTTGAAGTATATTTTTAGTGTTGTGTCTGGTGATTACTGGCCATATCAATTATGGAAACGTGTTTAATTTTCACATTTCATTGTTTCAAGGTTACCTTCTCAAATGCAGGAATATAGCTACCTCAAGTAATAAAATTAGTTACAGATGAAGCTAACTAGTATGGCTAACCATTCACCACAAGTTTATATAGAGAAGAGATATTTATTCAACACACCCAAAAATATCATTGGAAATGTTATGCCAAATAAAGAATAAAAAAAAACACTGTCAAAGCCAGCATCTTCACCTGATTAACTTTGTGCTCACAAAATTAATAACACACTCATGCTAAAATAGGCATAACTGAAAAATATTTGGTGTTTCTGTGTTATTGATGTTGTCCATTTTCTGTTCTTCAGCCTGATGGAAGGAGGCAAGAGTGTGTCTTTGTCGAGGAATTCCTGGAGAACAACTACACGGCTCTTGTATCGGCCAAGTACAAAGGATGGTACCTTGGCTTCAACCGGAAGGGCCGGCCCAAGAAAGGCTCACGCACCACGCAGAGGCAACAGGAAGTCCACTTCATGAAGCGCCAGCCGAAGGGTCGAGTGGACCCGTTGGAGGAGTTCCGTTTCACCACAGTAACTAAGCGGACACGAAGGGCTCGGCGGTTAAAAACCAACCCCAAGAGGAACTGACGGGACCGTTGGGAAAGCACTAGATGTCCTCACAGGAGGAAACAGAAACTGAAAATCTCAAGCTTCTTAAAAGAATCACCTTAAAGACTCTGCTTCTGTAACAGAAAGACAAACTAAAAGAACAAAAAGTCAAAGATGTTTTATTTTTGTATTTCAGGATGACTGAATATTTCCTGACTCTTGGATTCTCCTGGGTTGATGTCTTTGTGCTAATGTTTCTGTCATGTTATTTATACCGGATAAACTCAAGGACCTCTGAGAGAACTCGTGTCGCTGCTGTCCTCAGCCACGTTTGAACTGCAAGCTGAAGGCATACTTTCTTTTTGACAATGGGAGCTGAAGCAGGAGCTGACGCAATGTTATAAAAATCAGCCAACTAGAGATTTATTGGAATACCTGTCGGTTTTTGTTTGTGTTACCCCTGACAACGCGGATCCCATACTTTCCACTGGAATTAGACACCATGGAGATGAAACGGAGAGAGGCGGCAGGTGACACCGCGCTGCCGGGATAACTGTGTAGCTTTGAGTGCAATATTTTACAAGTCTCTTGTCCTCTACGTTCTTTCCATATGTCTTTCATCCCTAAAAGTCACTTGTGGCTCCTGGAATGCGCTGAAACCTCGCAGTCCCCAGTGAGATCTTCATGACATTTCCATGCAGCCTGCGATTCAGCTGAAACGCAACGTGCTTTGACGAGTCCAACACCCGTTGTGATTTTAGTCTTGTTTAAACACTGAAAGGACACAGTACAAACAGAAAAAACAGCGTAATTCCACACTGTCTTCCAGCTTCAACACACGTGGGGAAGGTTGTTAATCCCTTTTGTCTGTTTCTATTAACTCTTCATCACATGTGTTAAAACTGTTTCAAATATGGATTCCTTTTATTCCTAAACTGAGAGCTTGCCAGCCTTTTGGGGCTGACAATGACTTCCTCTACCTCTTTTGTTTGTGTTCAGTTAATCTCAACTTTGACCTTAAACTCAGCTCTTCTTCTTTTCTTTCGCTCACTTGAAGATGCTTTTGGAAAAAAAGCATACCAATCATCCACAGACAGAAAATCTGTGCATTATCCTACATTATTCTATAAACCTCCATCTGATGATTAAAGCTTCTTCTCAAATACTGAGATGACAGGATTCAGAGAATCCTTTCAGCCAGATGTCATGTCTGAATCATAAAAAGGGAAAACACTTTGCTTCTCACCGACAACAAACTCCAGGTTTTTTCACCAGTAGTTTGTATTTACCTGACCCCTGGCAGGTCTTTTTGTATGAGTTGCTACTAACAACATGACACATTTATGTTTTTTTTAAACAAATCTAAGCAAAAAATAATTTTATGACTATTATTAAGATATTTATTGTCTCCTTTTGTAAATAAAATGTGAGTTTTATTTGGCCTCTTTTAATAAAATGAGGACTGTATTTAAAAAAAGTTTGTGTTTATTAAATATAAATACTTTCATGTCTCAGTTTAAGAATATTTTTGACTATGTACCCACTGAGTATGACAGTCTTTGAAAGATGAATGCTGCAGGTAGAAGGTGGTTCAACATAGCGTACATTCCCTTCTCCACATACTGCCAAGGTATGCATTTTTATATACAAACTCAGGAGTGTGAGGTCTGCTTTTAAGGTCATCTCTTTAAAAAAAATATTGCAACATCTCTCAGAGCTTTTTATATCACCACAAAGGCCTCTGAGAGTTCACAAATCTGGTGATTTTACTGCAATGTTGATAGGGTTACATCTGCAAAAGTCATCATTGGATGAGAAGGTAGTATTTCAGTGTCTAGTTTCTGTTAAAATGACAAAAACGGAATGAAACACAAACAGGATATTTTTTTGCAATAAAAGAAAAAGTTCCTTAGACAAATAGCATGTAAGATATAACTTTTTATGCAAGTGCAATGCTCTTTGAATGCAAAAACTGACACTATTGTGGAGTCTTTTGGATGTTTTTTAAAGTGCTGAAGGAATGCAGAGTAGCACATCTCATAATGCTGTGTGCAGGAATGATGTTTACAGTTACTGTCAGACTGAAAGATGGAGGCTTTGAAGGGGGAAAAATACTCGTGTTTAAATTCCTTGCGATCTTATCAGGGCCCCCCTTCTTCGCTCCACTCTGGTAGTCACCTCCAGCAGATCCAGAGATTCCCCATTCTGTCATGGGATTTCAAATGTCTGACCTGCTTTTAAAGGTGGAAACAGAGTGCTCGACGTGTGACCCGGTGATGCACCATTAACGTAATGGATCCACGCTGAACACTCTTTGTCTTCAGGGGTTTGCTGTAAGAGGACTGGGGGATTTTGTAGAATACTTCATGTGGTTTAAACTTGACTGGATGTCGTGTTATTTTTTTGTTTTTCTTTTTGTACTTTGCGTGAGAAATGATAATAATAAAAACGGCAGGAGGGGGCTTCCAGAATAGTTTGTTGTGAGTGGCCAGATCTGGGTCACTCATTAGCTTCAAGTGGGATGCTTCTGAATTAAATAAAAAAAATATTGGTCCTCTTTGACATTGTTTCAGGCAAATAGTTTGTTAAAATAGGTTTTTAGGTACATGTGTACCTGATTCAACATTGCAACAGTTACAATGTTATTTTTGACATAAATACCATAAATGCCATTGTATGACGATCATATAACACCAGGGCCAAGATGGAGTGACAAGTACACCTGTTCTTGATTCACTATGTGCAGATATTTCTGTGAATCGTGTCATGAAAGATCGACTCATTCATGGATTTTTCTGTAGAGCAGACTTCAGATATTCTAAAGATCAGGTTACTACAAAGTAACCTGATCGTTACTGACTAGTGTTTGCAGACCAACCAATCTTGGAGCCATCACTTATTTTCTTTGGTACTGGTTTGACGTAACTTCAAGGGCTGAACTAAGAAAGACGAAGGATGTTTGCTTCTACAGTAGTGCCAATATACTTTCCACTGAGTGTATTAATGCATATTTGGTGTTTGAACACAAATACTCGGTGTCAATATGAGGCTCTTCGAAGGAACAAAAGGAAAGCTTGGTAATATAAATAATTAATTGTAAATTATCAAAGTTTTTTCTTTGCTCTCTTAAATTCATGATAAACAATATTTATGTACATATTGTAATATAATATAATACTATATAATATATTATTATGTAGTATAATACAATAATAATCTATACTTACCATCTTTGCTCCCCTGTAAATAAAAATATATCCTATTTGTTTGGGCAATACAAATAAGTACTTTTAATTTATTTCTAGCTACTGAAAATCTCTACAGTTTATGACTTTTGCGTCTGATGTTTAGTTAAAACACCGTTTAACAAGTTGAGGAATCTAATTAATCCAACTTTACAAACTCTAGTTATGTGAGAATGAGGCTTTTCTTTCTTTTTACCCCTCGTACTGCATACTTCAAACTTGACCAAGCACAACCAAACAGCATCTGGGTATATTGACATTTAAACGAGTGCCAATGGTTTAAAACATGTCACCCCATCCGCAATAAGGAGATGGCATTTTTGCATAAGCCTCCCGCTAGGCTTTTCTCTGATTCAACCTTTGATCATTGGAGGCTGGATGGTCTTGGAAGTGGACCAATAACTTCAAAACGAAACATAGAATTCCCTTTTACAAAGCTTAGCCTCCTTCTGAAAGGAGGTGGAATCTTTAAAAGCAGTCCTGCTTGCCAAGTAGGTTTTATTCTATTATTAGAAAGATCGCTGCATGCTGAAACTTTGCACAATGGGTACAGTATGACCAGGGCTGTGTCAATATGGAGAGAAAAAAAAAACTTGTGGTTCTGAATAAGTTCTACAAGTTTTAGTGCAACAACAACAAAGTGGTTTCTTTGGCCTGGAGCTCAGCAGCCACACACTTAACAATTAGCCCTGTCAACAGAAAAGTACATACTTTGAGACATAAAACAAGCTTTGTCTCTGTGAACGTAACTGGAATTGTCTGTAAAGAAAAAATTAAAAATATGAAGCCAAACAAAACAAAGTTCTAGCTACTCTATACCTCGTGCTGCTGAATGTAGTCTCAAGTCACGTCATTGACTGTCTAAACAACATTGCTGCTACCACCCGTCTAACTTACCCTAAATGCTGACCACAGCTGACTGGTTGCCTTTTATGACTGGATTCCACATGAGAAACACTCTGTGATGCTCAAAGTATTTTTTTTACATAAATGGCTGAGTTGTGTTTTTCCAGGATTACAAATGTGCTTACTGTACGTACACTTTATGCAAAGCCAGACCTCTTCTGTTTTCCTCTGAACAACATGCAAAGTCAAAGTCAAGCAAAGCGACAACAACAAAACTTTTCGTAGATTTTTATTTTTACAGAATCAGAAGATAATTTGGTATCTTTCCAACAACAATGATATAATGACGTAAAACAAACTATTGTTTTAAAGAAGAACAAATACTGGATTTAAACTGAAAAAAACAACAACTACTTTTTACAATTAAATTTTAAACTAAATGAAATGCCACAAAATACAAGGTAACATAACTGTAACCCCATTAAGCAGACACTTCAATTAAATACTAATTTTACGTAGTAATTATTTTATTTATATCTTTGTACATGTCACTAAAATGTTTTTACAAAGATGCAAACACAAAACAATTTTAAGTCTTTTAATTGAATTTAACTGGACTTGTTTTCTGTTTCAACTTTTGCAACAATTTCTTTCTCTGTCTCTCTAGAGAGTTTCCACTATTATTGAAGTTTCAACAATATTATATATATATATATATATATATATATATATATATATATATATATATATATATATATATATATATATATATATATATATATATATATATAGGGATTTTATGAAACAGACCAACACAAAGCAGTGCATGTGCATGGTTTTCTCTATCTGTCATTAAAATCTGATTTTTTTACCTACGTCTATTCCTATTGAAGGAATTCATCCCCACAGCTTGGTGCTGAGGTCATCATGTTTCACTGTTTTCAGGTTACGCTGACCAGAGCACCTCCTTTCACATGTTTATTATGTATCCTGCATGACCTGTTACCACATGCAAATGGCTTTCTTCTGGCTATTCTTCCAGAAAGACCAGAAATGTAGATGGAGTTTGTCTAATTGACAATTTCTTTTTATTGTTTTAATCTTCTTTTGACTTTCTCCTTTACCTTTCTGCTGTGATATTTGGTTTTATGATGCTCTTTCGACATTAATGTTCCCTAACAAACCTCTAAGCTCTTCTTAAAACAGGCGCGTGTATTTATAATTTTACTTTTAAAAACAGAATGTTCTTTTTCTTCCAGCAATGCACGTTATGTTGTGGTCTATCTCATAAAATCTCAATAGAATATAATAGCTGCAACGTGAAAGAAACTGAAAAAACTTCAATATCATAGCTTTTGTATGGCACCATATTTATTTTCATAGTTCCATTCATCTTATCATTACATTAATATATTTTGTACAAATCTGTGGTTAAAGTAAAAAAAAAAAAAAAAAAGTAGAATAATAACAACAAATGGAGCTTGATTAACAAGTGACCTGGAAAGTTGTCTGCCTTTATATTAAATTAAACAAGACAATGGATAATTAATTTAAAGGAGTGCACCCTTTAAATATTTTATTAAATTTATTCAGACTCCTATTTTCTTGCCCCAGCTTCAGCTTTAAAACAAGTTTGATAGCATTTTAAATATTTGATGTATTTAAAAGTCAGAGACACATAGAGAGGAAGAGATAAAAAAAAAAAAAAAAAAAAAACTTATAAGACATGCATCACTACAATATTCAATAACATGAACCTCTTCACTAATGTGATATGGGGGAAAAATCATAGGTCTTTTATTCCTTCATCTGTCTGTAATATAAACATAATAAATATAATAATTTATAATAAAGGGAAAACCATAAAATGACACATAAACACAAACGCAAAAAGATTGTCTCTTTCACAAACACTCATACGTCAGCCCTGGTCCCAGCATCAACAGATGCCAGGTGACACAGCTCATTAACTTCTCCTTTCTCCTATTCTTTTGGCCCCTCATTGTCTTGAGATATGAGATGAGTCTTTGTTGAGAGTTTTGTCCCCTTTTCTCTCAGCCAGGCAGGGCCCATAATTAGTGCTTTGCGCTGGGCGTACTTTCTCACAGGGCTACGACACAATTAATCAGCACTTTCCCACCAATAGGCAGAAGCTGCTTGATTCTATCAAGGCCACATTTTTAGGTTCTGACGCCTTTTTCCAGTAATGGTAAAACTAGCACACAATAGAAGTTTTTTTTTTTCTTTAAATAATAAATGGTGCAATCAAAGAATGGAAAATTAATAGAAGCATTAAGCTCTCCTAAACGTTCAGTAGTCAGACATTCAAATGGCAGTTTTCATTGTTTAGGTCAGTGCATGAGTCAGAATTCAGA